TGAAATGTTTCGAATATATCGGTCACGAGGTCGATGAAGAGGAATAGTGCATTTCCCCAAGAATGCAAGATTATATGACCTAACAGAGTTGTTACATAGCAGAGTTCAAGAAAAGCTACATTTAATCGGACCTTTGAGGGCTTTTCGCATTTAAAATTAACTGACTAAAATAACCAAAATCTCTTTTTCTAAAAATAGTTGATTACTTCGTTGGCTCTATTATCTGTATGATGTTTTACTGGTGAAAACGAATTACTTGGTAGCTCATTGACTGAATTCTAACAAACATAGCTTTCATACCAATATTTTTCCTGATAAATTTTATGTTCACCAATATTTTCTGTATTCCAAAACATAACATATGTGAATCGTGAGGTGACTTCGGTACACCATCTAATTGCGTAATGAGTTGATGCGAAGATATATTTTTTCAATCTGCCCGCTATTATACAATGCACGAAAGAGGAAATAACAGAAAGAAACAATGGGTGAATGATTATTATGCCTTTGTGTCTTGACATGAGCAATAACTATCAATAGGTCAAGTAGTGGCATGTAAGTGATGCCTGAACCCTCTAATAGCGAATCACGCCTATGGATGTCGAAATGAGCTAGGAAATATTCAATAATATCGAGGGGAAATCAATAGATGATTTCTAAAATTAGAGGGGTTTAGCCTGCAGATCACTGCACGTGCGTGAAATATTGTAATTAAAATTAATCTCAAATCGATTGTTGAAATCAATCACAATTTTAAAAATAACTACTTTTCGGAGAGATTATCCTTCTCATCATCTGTAAATTTGTTGAAATCCACTCAGCGATTAAAATTTTAGAAGTCGTTTCTAAATATTTATGCTACAAACCGAGCATTACTTGCCTTATTCTCCCTTTCAACTGTGGCAATAGAAATTTATCCTTAGAAAGTGAAGCGTACTTATTATTTTTTACTATTATAAACTAAAATACCACCACTTGCCAGATGCTCTACTCCATCAGTTATCCTAGATCCACTACCATGTTTGATAATAACTTTCAATCTACAAAAGTATAATAACCATACCAATTAAACAATTCTCTAAACTAACACTCAAATTTCACTGATGATGGGGTTGAGTTTGCCTATGAATTGTAAAAATTGTTGCCAAAAAGGAGTTCTATTCTAGGTAGTAATTATTTTTTATAGTTTGGTGAAAATTTGGGCCCCTCATTTATCAGTGTAACTAATTTCACCCCATAAAGTGGCCTCGACCACTCTCACTATTTATCTCAGTCCTATCAAAAATAGTTATGTTCGGTTGAAAATTAAATGATCTTATGCATCATAAATCCACCTACGTATCTTCGGTCATCACTGTTTACTCTAATGTATATGATATCGTCTTCTTGGTTCCATTAACATTGTACGCGGGGGTGGGGGAATGAAAGCTTTAAAGTCCACATAATCATTCCATAATTAGTCGGATCTTATAATTTGACGTAGGCGGTTAAACAATCAGGTCCATTTCGATAATCTTGGATCTTTCAAATAATAATACAAGTCATTCTGCCACCTTTAAATAGCAGATATCATCACATAAGGTTCGTTTGTGTAGGTATTGTGATGTTGCGTAATTTCTATATGGGAGAGGGATTGCTTTGTCAAATCTCTCAAGGCCGTAAGGTAGATGGTGAACTGATCACATTACGCCTTATATTATAGTGATGAATTGGGGTGCACGATAGACTCACCTCCACGTGGTGCACCTTGGGCAACGTATTTTCATACGGCAACAAAATCTAAAAACTGGCAGCTGTCTTCCGACTTCAAACCACCATGACTTTCACAGTAGTCACCTTACCATTTTTTCTCCCCTTGTGTCTGTCTCTTTTACATCTGTGAAACACTCTTCTGTCCCACCCCACCCCCCTCTCCTCCACTTATGTGACTTTGATATTCCTCCCTCTGTGAAGGTCGAAGACTATAATTAAGCCTGCCATTTAATGTAAATATTAATGAATATGAATTTTTCGTAAGTATGCAATAGCAATAGCAGAATTAGGAAGTAGTTGTGGAAAAAATAATCTCTTCTTTACTTAATTATTAGAATTATTGCATAACATAAATGCCACACTGATTTGCTCTCGTGCCATTAATTAAATTCCATGTTACAGAAACTAATGAGAGAGCAATTGGTAAAACATGACTCCAATTTGTAGTGGTATCTGATGGAGCTTTCAGGGTAGACAATGTGGCAGTAACTCAACTTTCTTGAAACTCTGTTAGGCTTACCTTGAAACAAGGCACTTTAAAGCCTAAGTTGGACGAACATCTTCATCCTTAATTGTCAATCGTTTGAATTATAATTATAATTATAACAAAGTTTGTAATTAAGTGGCAAAGGGTTGGTGGTTCATTACTGGGAGTATTATAGAAATAATAGAAAGTGATAAATTTAATCTTTTTAATTGGAAATATAAGTGGAGTTTAAACACAATTTATATAATCCTGCCTAATTGGATTTGGAAACATTTAATTACTCTTTTACATTAAACCCTCTCAAGGATGTGTGTAACCAGCTGAATGTACCAATGCTTTTAAGGTTACAGTCAAAATTTAATGCCCTTATTTAAGGCCAGATTTGGGATTTAGCACTCCAGGTGTATAAAGTAATTTGATTTCCCAGTTAAACCTTTCGATAGTTGCAAACACAACAGAGAACCACAAGTCAAACTAGTGAATGCAGCCTTTAAGAGTGAGCAACTGGAATAAGCTAGGCCATAAAATGCACGAAATGCATTCATCACCAAATTTTTAAATATCATAAAATGAGGTGACCGATCGGTGCATTTGGACATTGAAACAAGTTTTATGCAGGCTTGGGAAGTGTTGGTGTGGGAACACAATAGTTACCTACTGAAGTACCCCTGCCCTATTCAATGGCCGAGCATAAGGACGAAGAAATTTGGTGGGGCCAGCAGCTTCAATGCTATAGAGTTTATCTTTGCACATTTGTTATGAAACATAAAACAAAGAACCTGCACTTCTAGCAAAGATGCTCACATTGGATTTGATATTGGCACGTCAATCGACTAACCATTGGACAATGAACTTCTTCGCTGACCAATCCGAATTATAGACAGTGGGCATGCCACTTTTGTCTTTTTGGCAAACAGTCACACACGCAAGCGAGTTGAATTATGCGAAACGAATTTCCATGATATCGTTAGCTCTCTGTCCCTCTCCCTCTCTAGCGTGGAAGTTGTCATTTCTGCATAAAAACATTATAGTCAACTGGGGGCTGGATTTTTGCTAATTTTATTCGGAGCACCGAGTTCACTCTCAATTACATTTTACAAAAGCCCAAAAGTTTTTATTCACTTAATTACAAATTCAATCAAATACATCAGTAGAAATAGAGTCAGTTTTTTGCGCATTGTTTAACAATTTTGTAGATAAAACGCTCTCAACTCAATAGCATCTTTGTACTTAAAAAAGACATTGAATTATTGTTATATTGAAATAGTTTATTCTTTTGAAATTTCAACTAAATAGGCCAAACTTTAAGTACTTTCACGAATAGAAAACTTGTCTTTTATACTTGATAAGAGATAGAAAACTCTTTCTGGAGAATAATGATTAGGTGAAATAGCGATTGAAATGTAAGAAAACTTGGAGCATCCACCACGTAATTTAGTTTCTAGCGACTTGGAATTTAGCTGGTTATTGGGGAAAATTATTCTGACAGCAAGTAAATGGTTTTTTTGACATTTGGCCTATAGATAATTTTCACTAACTTTTAACTGTAAGCAAAGTTTACTTTTCAAATCGGATAGATTTGGCAAACTCACGAATGTCAATTCCTTTCAAATCTCAGTTTTTTCCTCACAACTTGAAACTAAATGAAATCTTTTTGTCTGCTTCATGAAATAAAGCGGTCTTTAACAGGGAATACCTGCTGTCTCTTAAGAAAATCATCTTAGGGCCATACTCAAATATCCATACTCTTATCCCTCGTTTAAATGTATTTGTGGATTTCTTGATATTTATTTATTTATTTATAAATAAAAACAGGGGTGTGCGACAGACTTACCTCCACGTGGTGCACCCTGGATAACGTGTACTCATATGGCAAAAAGTCTATTAACTGGCTGTTGACTTCTGATTTCAAACTACCATGACCCAAACGTATGTCATATTCAATCTCTTCCATAGTACTCACCTCACCTTTTTCTACCTTTGTGTCTGTCTCTTACATCTTTGAAGCACTCTTCTGTTCATCCCCCCCCTCCCCACTGTTTTCACTTTGATTTTCCTTCCCTTCTGTGAAGCCTGAAGTCAACTAAAGGGTTAATGATAGGTATCAAATCGCCTGCCATTTGATATAAATAACTTCGATAAAATATAGAATTCCTTTAGGTGTCTTGAGACAAATTAAAACCCACCAAACTCCGCTACCCCTAACAGTGAAACTTCAAGTAACGAGTAGATTCAAGCTTTTCTAATGTTAAACAAATCAGTATGCATGGTTTTTCTATCTCAGCAATTAAATAGGAATTCCCCCGTTGGTTCCTCTTCTAATCATTCTTGACTAATCAATAGAGCGATGGTCATTATCAAATTTGCTAATTTATTTTGTTATGTGGAACACTGAAAATAAAGACTCTATTCAAGAAATTCATCACTTCTAAACTTTGTTAATCGGTATCCATATTGCCACTAATAGGACTTCATAGTCTAACCAGTAGAAAGTTTACAAATTGACTGACCCCATATGTAAGCTGACCAATAAAGATTAGATTGAAGGCGATTAGCCAATAAGATTGGTTATGTGGTGGCTGATTAACGTTGAGGCCAACAGTGTTCACTATAAAAGCAACCAAAATATTATTCGAAAATACTTTTCTGTTTTGTTCATAATCAGACACTTGTCTCAGGTTAGCTATTTATTTGCGAAAGGTTTCTAAAATGTTCAACAATTTGATTTTATATACTATTCTTTCTTTTCAATTATAGAATAATGCTTGGAGAGGCGGAACTATTATTAGTTGTCGTGGGCTTTTTGATAGCCTTCGTTAGCGCGTTCGGTCTCGGTGCAAACGATGTTGCCAATTCATTTGGTACTAGTGTCGGATCAAAAGTACTGACACTTCGCCAAGCCTGTATCTTAGCGACCATTTGTGAGATAGCCGGATCAGTACTTCTAGGAGGTCACGTATCAGCCACAATTCGTGGGGGGATCATTGATCCCACTCAGTTCAATGGAACCGCAGACGGCGCTGTGAGATTGATGCAAGGTCAAGTCTCATCTCTAATTGGTGAGTTATCTTGAGAGTTTTAATTTACTCCTCTCCTTGCCAAAAACTAGTATCAGTGTTTTTCCTAAAAAGGTTCATGCGCTTGGATGCTGCTGGCAACATTCCTACGAATACCTGTCTCCGCAACCCATAGTATCGTGGGTGCGACAGCTGGTTTTGGATTAGTGCTTTTCGGAATTGATGGCATACAGTGGAAAGGAATTTTCAAGATTGGTGAGTTGTCTAAGTTATGGGTTGTGACATAGATTATATTATCAGATTAATAAATTCGTTCTCTATGCTTTACAGTTGGTTCGTGGTTCTTATCGCCAGTTTTAAGTGGACTTGTGTCAAGCACCCTATACTTAATTATCAAATACACCGTTTTGGTGAAGGTGAGGGCTGAGTTTGAAAAGTTTGCATTACAAATATACTGATAACCTTGTTACCAATTAAATTCATCCCGCTAATTTCATCACAGGAAAATTCTCTAGAACCAGCACTCAACACATTGCCGTTCCTGTACGCTATCACCATCTTCATTAACGTATTTTCAGTTCTCTTCGGTGGACTTAAAAGTACGTTTTTTTATTGTTTGCTTCCCATGTTTTATGCCCATTAACGGTTTGTTTTCCCCTTCTGTAGTGCTTAACCTGCCTGAGATATCTATTTGGACGATCCTGGGAGCAGCTGCCGGCTGTGGTCTCGCGGGTGGACTTGCAGTGCACTTCATCGGACGCCCCATCATTCGTCGTAAAGTTCATGCTCGTCTCTCTGGAAAGGGGAATACTTCCTCTTCCAAAAAAACCTTCAATTTATCCTGTCTTACACAATGTCGTGAGAGAATGGAAGCCTTTTTCAGCCATGAAACAAACGCTACCGGCCCTCAAGCGGCTCCAAAAACAGAAACTAGTATGTCAAATGTTAGATCTATTTTTTTACTCACATATTTCTTATAACTTTACTAATGACACCTTTCATTTACCCAGTCGTAGCAATTCCTCCAAAATCGGATGCTGATGATGTTGAAATGCAAAATATTCAGGAGACAGAAAATACGGCAACTAATAAATCTTCAAAAGTTGTACGTTGTTAATATTCTTTTATTTAATTTAATATTTCGGCCTCAACTGATCTAATTAAATGATTATGAAACAAACGTAGGTTGGTCGTGATGGCCAAGTATGCGACAGACCAGAAGAGGCTGAGGTGTTTGCATTCGCACAAATTCTCACTGCCACCTTCGGCTCTTTCGTCCACGGTGGTAATGATGTGGCTAACGCTATTGGACCTGTTATGGGTCTGTGGATGGTCGCTACAACAGGTGATGTCTTAATGAAGGTGGCACCAAAGGTCTGGATCCTATTCTATGGTGGCATTGGTATCTCAGTCGGTCTTTGGGTCTGGGGTCGAAAGGTCATGCAGACAATTGGTCATGATCTTACCGAAATCACACCAACCACGTAAGTTCAATCATTACATTTTTATTTCAAAAGTCCCATAAAAGTTCCAAACGATAATCTGTTAAATCATGTGATATTTTAGCGGAATGTGCATTGAATTGGGTGCTGCTATAACTGTGTTGATTGCAAGTAAAGCCGGTCTTCCCGTCTCGACCACTCACTGTCTGGTCGGTTCTGTTGTCTTCGTCGGATGCTTCCGTGAGCGACAGAGTGTCAACTGGAAACTCTTTGTTGGCATTGCATTTGCTTGGATGGTCACATTACCCGTTTCTTGCGGTATATCCTCCCTGACCATGTACTTATTCACAGTTTTCGGCTAAACTGCCATTTTTACCTCTATTCGTTGGATTTTCACTTTTTCTTTACATAACGGTGCCTTTTTTACTTCTTTGTACGTGTGTCTATGTGTGTGTGTGTGACGATAGCTATATGTTTATTCTTTTAAAACTTTGACTGTAATTGAAAGTGTAGTAGTTTTTGAAATTATCATTAGCAATAAACAACTTTATGCCACGGAAAATTGTTTTTTGCTTTATTGAGATTGTGGCATTGGAGATCTTAAAGACTTGACGAAGTTGGTAATAGGAGTTATAGAGATTAGTACAATGCTGCAATTCAATATTTTTCTTAATTATTACCCGTTGGAATTTGTTACTTAGCTAAATTAATTAAAACGTAATAATGGCATCTAGATAGGAAAAAATACTTGTTGAATCTAAATACTGCTTAGATTGATGTCGTTCTAATGCTGTTTTCAGTAAACTCTGGATAGTTTCAGTGATAGTAAGACACGTCAATTTGATTACATAGCTTACATTTTGTTCAACAACCTTTAATACTCTTCAATTTTGGATCAAAGCAATTTATCTAGATCTACTTCCTCAGATTTTTTGAATTTATCAGCCATCAGCTCCTCTCGCATAGGGAAGGAACGAGCTTCACTATAATTCGAATGTGTTTGTTCTTCCCGAGGCATTTCAGAGACAAGATCTTGACGGATCTTCCTTGTTTGGTTTTAGTTGGCAATTTTTGCTTGGTCATGGGCATGGTAGGACGTTAGACAGGTAGTGCTGGGTTGAACTTTGGCAGTTAAGACACAATAGAGTGTCCGAGATCAGTATTACGGAGTGATGAGAGTAATTTCAAGTCACGCTCCAAATTTTAAATAAAGTCGGGATTGCGGCATCACTCATTCACCCCTTCTCTCTCCCGTTTTTAATTATTTGCTTTCTCCCCAAATTTGATCATAATGAAAAAGATATTACACTTGGAGTGCACAATGGACTTACCTCCACGTGGTGAACCCTGGGCAGCGTATACTCATACGTCAAAAATGGTCTATAAACCGGCAGTTGGCTTTTGACTTCAAACTACTATGACCCGACTCTATTTTAAATACCACCACTTTCACAGTACTCACCTTACCTTTTTCCTCTCCATTTGTATTTGCCTCTCTCGCAACGGTGAATCACTCTTCTGTTCCCCCTCTCGAATTTTTGTAACTTTGATGTTCCCCTCTTCTGTGAAGCCCGAAGTCAGCTAAAGGGCTAATGATGACTATCATAGAGCCTGCCATTTGATATATATAAATGAATATTACGGTTGACAATACTAAATAATAATTATTTCAGCGGTAATTGTTTTAAACTAAATAAACGCTATTTTCAATTATTTCAGTCTTACTCATCTTCTTTAACTTCAAATACTTTTTATTAAGGAAAAAAATAATGGCCAACCAACCAATGGCATCGAAATTATCATTAGGGAGAGTAGAACTAGTACGTCTGAACTGAAGTTTGTAGTAGGTTTAGGATTAAGCTAAGTTTATCTTTTTACATGATGTTCTATAAATCCCTACGTCAAAATCGATCAAGGTCATTACCAGTGAGAACAACTGGTCCTAATTGTACAAATGAAAAAAACTGATGTCAGAGAGTCTCATTTTTAACTTATTAATACCGCAAACTCATGAACTTGACATTGTCGCATCGTTTTTATTTCATTTATTCATATTGAACTCCAGCAAAGATAATATAATAAGCATACTAAAAAATCAATACGAGGACAATACGTCGAGATTTAAAGTAAACACCTAAAGGCGCACAAACGTAATCAGGAAATCGATACAAACATAATTGAATTGAGCTCAGTCAGGTGCGAATATACAAGAGAGTCCTCGGAAAAGTTACATATGTGAAAATTTGTTTAATTCTTTGCTACAGCACAACACTGAGCATTCACTTTCCAATACAAGTTTTCTATCACCATTGTACGATGCGAACGTACGTTAATAGTCATGTCTAAAACAGGTATTTTGGGGTTGATTTGGATTAATATTAAAATGGAAATTCTAGCAAGCCTTAAATTAGAATTTCCAGCACTTATAATTTTGCATATTTCAGCAAGTTAGAATTATTTGTGCATTACCACTCCACATCATGTTAACAATATGGCTTGGGGACTAAACTTTACTTTTGCCATTGTTCTGATTTCTCTTAATATAAGCCATCTCAATGGAGCCTAAATTCTACAAATTTTCATTGCGCAACAATAAACAATGTTAATTAAGTAAAACTTAGCTGGAAAGGCGATAAGTGATGGGGGAAAGTTATCAAGCGTTAATTATATTAACTTTAGGCGTTCAAGATACTCGTTTAATGTTCAACGATTCAAGCTTCAAATTCTCTAAATCACGCCATGGAGTTCCGGTCAAATTCTAATCCACTAGTTCCTAGTTCATAATCGTTTATGGCCTTAGGGGTAGTTTGCATAGACCAAACAGAGCCCTTGCAGTTTAATTGAATCAATAGACGTTGTTAATAATCTTTATCTATTTCTGGGGTGCGCTTTAGACTTACCTCACCGTGGCGCATCCTGGACAACGTATACCCTTACGGAAAAAGTTTATTAACCGGCAGTTGACTTCTCACTTCAAACTACCATGAGATTAACCGGCAGTTGACTTCTCACTTCAAACTACCATCACTCCACTGTATGTCATATTCTATAACTTCCACAGTACTCATCTCACCTTTTCTCTTCCTTTGTGTCTGTCTGTCTCTTCTACATCTGTGAATCACTCTTTTGTTCCCAATCTCGACTGTTTTTGACTTTAATATTCCTCGCTCTGTGAATCCCGAAGTCAGCTAAATAGCTAATGATGGCTAATCAAGACGCCTGCCATTTGAAATAATGATTATTATCCATTTCTTTCTGACCCCAATTTGTTAATCTACTCTAAAGGAGATTTAATGACAATTTAATTTCAAATGAATACAACTATCATTGTCGGTATCGAAATATGTATGCATTGGTGCTTAAGACAGATATAAGCAAGATTGAAGCTCTGTGAAATATTATGTCGCAAGTTTTAGCGCGACCCACCGATGCTTATTTTAAGTTATATAAAT